AAGTGTTGAGATGATTCCACCTCATCTTCCTCTTGACAGCTGATACACAAGGGATCAGTCGAGTCGATCTAGTCGTACCGCTTGAATGCCAATCAGAAGCCCTATCACTCGCGAGAGCTGAGGCTTTGCAAGCGTGAGGAGCTTCCACCCCAGGTCAGAAGGATTTGGAAATTTCGCATGGTCTTGTGGAATATCAGCGAGCGCAGGAGCGTACCGCAGGACAATAGAAACATCCTTAGTTGCTCCATATCTAGTGATAAGGTTTCAATGGTGCCTTTTCTTACCAGGTCATCAGCTTCATTAAGAAGTACTCCACCACGATTTTTAGAGAGGTCAGACATTCCCTTGCCGATTTCGAGCGCACCATCATAGCGTTCAGGGCCCTGATGACCGCCTGACAGTCCGAGCATATGCTAGCCTCCCTAACTGAAGTCACACTCTTTAGCTGTGAGCCTATCGCCATCGTCATGGTAGCTATTTTCGTCTGAAAAACACTGCGGAGGTGTGGAAACCTGACAATAGTTTTGAGTGAGAGTTCCCGACAGAAAACACCTTCACCAACTCTGCCTACAAGTTTTGATTCATCCGGGAAGAAGTTTACCACTCCCTTCTTCCAGTAACTCCCGTTTCCCCCTGCCCAGTCCTCTCTTGAGGGAATGTAGACAGAGAAGGGGCTGCTATTTCGTGGGTGCAGTAATCTATATTTACAGGGACGAAGTCAAACCCCTTCAGAACTCCAGCGTGTCCGGGTTTTGAGCCAGTTGCTTTAGGTATCAAAAAAAAATGTTTTCTGTTATTTCAAATTCCCAATATCCAACTTTGAGCTAAAATCCAACAAAATGGTCAAACCAACATAGCTACGTCTCACATGGTACACTGGGATCTTGCTTTGAATGCCCAAGGTAACTCCAGCTGCCTCCGTGAGGAATTCTATACAAAATTGCTTCCGTACACATACATAGGATGTCTTTTGGCTAGTCGGGATATGCAGTTTATCATTATTCAGATTGAATTTTCTAAGGACTTGTTCATGTCAAAAATGCACTTAGAGGCATACCATGTCTATTGAATGGTGACCGATATTAAAGAAAAACTTTCCCGATGTTGCTCTCCCCAAGCGTCGGACCTAGGTCCTAACAAGTAATAGTACGCACCTCTAATTACACGGTTACGGCGGCCATAAGTATACCAAATATTTTACCCAATATGCCTTCTTTGCCTTGCGCGCTCCGTCGACAAAAACTATTATATCTTGACGACAAGCACTGTGCTCAGTAAGACAGTATTCTTTAAGCTAAGTTTTTATGCGTGTTTTAGCCTGTCCGGTTTATCCGTTGTGCATTTAATCTTCCCTTGCTTGGCTCATTCGAAAAATGACACTACGTCAAATTTGATCGGCGTTGAATGGAGGCTATAGTAGAGATCATAGCCTACATACTATTTATATAAGTACTACGTATAGCCATTTCTAAACATAGCAAGGATCAAATTGTATAAACTTTACTTGGAATGTTCCAGCCGTTAATGCTGAATATATTTCTACGTACCCCAGATTTCAATTCGATCGTGACTATGTATATTAGCGATGGACTTCAGAGTTAGGCTTGACCGGTTTTTCTGAGGCAGTTTAGTAACATAGAACCGACCATCTCGTGATCGTAAATTTTTTGAGCACTTGCTTTTATACTTACCCGTTTGTAGTATTACTATTGTTTGGGGGCAAGATAGTGCCTCCACCTATATAAAACTATTGAGCTACGTCTTAAAAAAGCACTTCAATCTCAGGCTATTTATAAATTTAAGACTTCAGAGGTTATCATCTTCCTGATTCTAGATGGGGAGGTAATTCGTTTATGGATGCCAATTTCGAAGGCATCTTCATGAAATACATTTGTTTTAAAAATTGCCTATTGGTAAACTTTTCTTAATCCTAGGTCCAAATACGCCCACTTCAGTGTGGCCTTCATTGAATTTGGATCCATCTCAGTATACCAGTATTGTGAGCATTCGGCACGGTTTTATCAAGCGTGTTCCAAATCGAACTCCCCTTGCTTTAAACCCAAATTCCTCTTTTAAAATATGGGNGTATACCAGTATTGTGAGCATTCGGCACGGTTTTATCAAGCGTGTTCCAAGTCGAACGCCCCTTGCTTTAAACCCAAATTCCTCTTTTAATATAGGTTACTTCTGCCACTTCACTTTTATTTGTCATTCTTGACTAATAACACCTGCATACAACTTTCAAAACTTTATGTATACTACAACCAACGTTAAGATGCCCACAAACAGCCATCAGGAAACTTTTAAACAACAGCGTAATTTCCATCTCCGCCTATAATTATATACCTACGTATGATGAAAGATAATTTGCGATATTTCCTCCCACACATACATATATACGTACACATCGCATGCAATCTAGATATTATAAATATATACATATGTACAATGCACAATACATTGCACTCTGTTCTCTTTCTTTTGTTGTTAACTTGCAAAGAGGAGAAATCCGACAATAAGAAGAACGAATCTATGGAGCGCAAAAAGAAGGAGGAAAAACTTAAACTAAAAGCGGAAAAGGAAGCGAGAAAGGTGGGTGCACGTCAACGTGACGCTACGACTGCGACACGAGCTAACAGTGTTTGTAATGATGAACATAACAAAAATGATAAGCATAAAAATGTTAAAAATGATGAGGATAATGATGATGTTGCACAGAACGGCGTTGGTGGTCTAAGTGGCGGTAGTCGTGGTGGTGGTGGTGGTGTCGGTGGTGGGTTATTATGCTTTTATGGTGGTTTGGCTGCCTGGAAAGTGATGTCGGTAATTGGTTTATCACACACACAAAATGCATATTCATTGTTGAGTTGCTGTTTTTGTTTTTCGTTTTCGCATTATTTATTCTGCTAAATGTGTTGCTTTTTAAATTCATATTTACTCCTGCAGCAGCGTTCTCAGCACCCCTAATTTTTTCAATGTCTTAATAATAAAATTAGAGATTTATTTTACGAATTTAACGTGACTATTTTACACTTACGTAGATCTGTAGAAGAAGACAGTGATTTTTCCATCACACATACTACTTGTTTGCAAAAATCTCCTCAAACTGCTATCAACTTTTCGGTACAGTCTCTGTGGGTCCGCATTTAAATTTTTCTAATCCACCGAGAAAAAATGCAATAACTACCAGAAGGATATCTATTCAAAGGAGTAGACCCCCCTAAATAGCCTAGAAGTAGTGCTGAATCCAGCAACTACCTCTTCTAAACAACCATTTGTTCTTATATGTAGTTTCTTCCCGAATATATTCGGTCTTACGCACAGTATCGGCGTTGGGATCTGAGCCGCTGTGCTCAACTCGTCTCAGGCAAGTTGAAGGACGTGAGCATCACTCCCAAAAAACATGGGTCCTGGTACTTATTCATCAAAGTTGCCGCCATTGCACAGTGGTCCAAAACTGGAATTTGCTATTTCAAATAGTCCAAAGCACTCTTTTTTCAACTGGTTTTTATGAAAGCTAATAAAATTTAGCAGATACGTGCTGAGCCGGATTTTTTAATTCTTATTTGTTTATATTAAAAATTTTAGTGCAAAGTTCAGAGAAAGGCGAGTCTCCTGTTCCTGCTAATAAGTGTTACATAATAAGAACTAGTTGAAGACAATTGTAGAGTTTGCCCAAAACGAAAAAAATTTCACAAGAAAAATTTTAAATGTTATAAAAAAATGTCTACCAAATTATTTTTTATTTTATTTTATAAAGAATTTTAGATTTGCAGTTTTATAACCCGTTAGAGTTCACGTAGAACAACTAATAATTTTACAAAAAAAAAACATTTAAATTTTATAAAAAATATTTATCAAAATTTTATTTTTTAATTTTAAGCTAAGCCGTTATAAAGCCCAATAAATTTTAGTATAATAAAATTAACTCCGCGCACAAGTAATCAAGCTGGACTATTTGTCGAAAATTTGCGCCTAAAACTATGCCGCTAAGATTTTTCTGAATTCTAATATTTAGTTTTATTGCTGGAGGTGCTATGGCATTTTCTTCCAAATGCATAAAGTGCGATCGAAATTTCAGCAAAAGAAATTATTAAAAATCAACGCGAATTCTTACTTACATTTTATTATACATATTTAATGGGGCTATAAAACTGAGGTATTTTTTTTATTTTTTGTTCTTTTTTAAAACATTTCAAATTTTTCTTACCAACTTTTTTCGTTTTGCCGAAACCTTAATATTTAATATCTATAAGCAAATAAAAATCAAAAAATCGGCCTCAACATGTCTCTTCTAAATTTTATAGACTTTCATTAAAAAAATAATAATCGGTTGAGAAATAAAGGCTCTGTACTATTTTAAACAGTAAATTTCAGTTTTGGACCTCTATGCATTGGCATTGCAGGCAATACTCAAAGATCTTAACTTCAAAGATCTAAACGTATTTATAAATCCTAACCCATTCGAGTTCAGCGACCTTTTACTGGGTACTGCTTTATTTCTTTTGGGTTTTCCTCAACTTCGCTTATACGGCGTTTCCACGATTCGTAATTCGCTCTCCCATTCGTCATTCGCCTTGCCAATTACCTTCCGAATTACGTAATTCGCCATACAAAATTTTGAGAGCGAATTACCCCACCTGCAGGTAATTCAGATCGAATTACCATGCGAATGACGAACGAATCGGTGCCTCCTCTAATATTTATCGGAAATATATCGAAGTTTTCACCGGCCTAGTCCCATTTGCTGGCACTTTTTCTGGTTATAGAATAATATTAATAAAATATTATCTATATAAATTAAAATTGTTTATGATAACTTAAATTTTAGCACCATCTTCGATCTTTGCAGTACACAAAATATTAGTAATTAGCGAAGAACAAGAACAAGAGCTAGAGTTGCCAAACGAATTACTAATGTGTGTGTCTTACTTACTTAGGGAATTACTTAGAGTGCGAATTACGAAACGTGGAAACATCGTATTAATTATTTTCTTTTTTCTTTTTATTTCTTTAATTTTTATTAGTCGATTTAGTGTACAACAGTTTTTTGGCTCCTATACTCCTTCTGGAAACAACATATGTATGTAGCGCACCTATAAAATGAGAATTTTTTGCTTAAATATGTAGCAGTATAATTTTTGAAATACTTACATACATACATACATAGTAGTTAACTGAAAACTTTAATTTCTTAGTTTCACCAGTCGCTGAGCTCCATCCTCTTCCGGTTTCCATACTCACCAACATTCTTTCGGAAGCATATCGTTTTCTTCTTCCTACTTTTCTGCACTGACTTGCATCCTCTTCGCCCTTTTTTATTCCTTCCTTTAACATAGTTGCCTTTAGCTATCGTAATTGCTCCTTTTCATTATTGCTAAACATAAAATCGTACTCCTTTTACTGCTCGTTATTGTTTTTTGTTTTTTAGTCGCTACATAGTATGCCTTCTTATTGTGCTTTTCATTGCTTTTTTATACTCCGCAAATGTTCATTGTTTCTACTGTCATAGTGCTCGCTTCAAATGTGTTTTTGTTTTATGTGTATTTCGTTTGATTCCCGACAACAACCGCCACAAAATATGCCACAAAACTAAATATCGTAACTAGAGAACGGGAAATGTCTGCCTGAGAGTATGAATGAACGTACGTATGAAAAGGCCCATAAGAGAAGCCGTACGAAGTACTGAATAACTGTTTACACTAGTACATATGTGCACTAGAGTGGTCCAAAAATGCATGTGAAAAAGTAAAGTCGGAATTTTCATGCTCTCACCCCCTAGGATTGTTCTATACCGAAAAAATATACCCCTATTTTTTATTTTCAAATCAAAAAATATTTGCAGGTCGCTCAAAGTGTTCCATGTATTTTATAGGGGAAAAAACACTTTTCGTGGAAATGGTATAGAATTCTTGAAGATCAATATTTTTCGATCGGAAAACTTTGTTTCTCTTCAGGAGATTCCCAGTTATTTATTTAACCATTTTTTCATAGTTACTATGTTTTACTACCAGAAAATGCAATGGGGGGATAAATAAAAAATCGTTAGTATAAAAAATGGTTAAATAAACAATTGAGTATTGTTATTGGAAGTCTCCTGAAAAGAATTCCATACCATTCCAACGAAAAGTTGTTTTTTCCATATATAATATATGAAAAACTTTCAGCGACCTCGCAATTATTTTTTTTCGGGCTTGAGAGCATTACATTTCCGACTTTACTTATTTTGCACCACCCTAATGTACACACAGGGTTATTTTTATTTGGTATTCAAAAGTTTACTAGCATGTCGCATGCGTTTCAACAACTTCTCTTCAATGAATGAATGAATGAGTGGCTGAATGAACAATTGCAAATTGGCTCATACACTAGAAACAATGGAAAACTTTCAGTAAAAAAAATAAAAATAATCTGATAGTCTTGATACAGACACGCATATAGTACGTACGTACATACATAGTGTAGTAATAACAGTTTTCTTCTACTTAAAATAATAACTAGCAATTAGGCATTTTTATGTGTAACCACAGTTCGTTGGCAGATGAAGTTTTTGAACAGAAAAAAATAAAACGTTTTATATAATCCTATTTTGCTAGCAAAAGTAATTTTTTTCACTGTATTTATTACACTGAGGTTTGATGTAAGAGTTCCAGTTACTACTTTCAAGTAGATAATTATGTAAATTTAGTTAATACAACTTTTAAAATGCTTTACTCACAAAAAACAAAAAAAAAACTAACAACAACTGAATTTTCCAACTTTCTGTTAAAAAAAAACTTTTACAGGAGGAGAAGCGCCTAGCCAAGGAAGAGGAGCGACTGGCAAAGTTAATTGCCAAGGAGGAGAAAAAGAAGGGCAAAAAGGAAGCCAAGGAGTTGCTCATCGCAAATGATGGGAACAGCAAGAAGTAAAGTAAAATTGCGTCTTCTCAACACGGAATGCGCACTGAAAAAAATATAAAAGAAACTCATAGCCAGTTTCACGAAAGCAATTAAAGTGATAAATAATTTTTTTATTTGTACTTAATATGAAAGCTCATAGAAGCGAAAAAAAAATATTTTTCATTTAAATGGCTGGTGAAACCGCAGTTCGAGCTTTGACCCAGCAAGCAATTTCGTGCTCCAAAGTACTAAAAGTTCTAAATTTGATAGACGAAGTACTAGATTAAATGCTAAAAGTACTAAAAAAATACGAAAATTTCATAATATAGATAAAATAGTACTAAATCACAAACAAAAAGTACTAAATTGAATATATGTACTGGAAGTACGTAATAAAGAACTAGAACTGCTGAATTATATTAAGGACGTACTTCATAAACATACTGAAAGTACTTTGCAAATTACTAAAAGTTCTAAATTAGATTAAAAAAAATGCTAAATCACAAACAAAGGGTACTAAATTGGATATGTATGTGCTGTAGGTACTAAATAAGTACTAAAATCATACCAAAGGTACTGAGACAAATACGAAAAGTGCTAAATTAATTACCAAAACTAATAAATTACGTGCGATTAATGCTAAATAATCTACTAAAAGTACTAAATCACAGACAAAAAGTTCTAAATCAGTTATTAGAAGTATTCAATTGTGTACTACAACTACTAATTTTTTACTTGAAAGTTCTGAAAAGCATACTAAAGTACTAAATAAAGTACACTTGTGCTAAACAATATTAAAAACTGCTACCCAAAATTCAAAAATTGAATCCCATAACAAACTCTGAAACATAATAAATAATCTCAAAAAGCACTAATAAACTATGTATACAAAGCAAAATTTTCTAAATTCCAAAAACCAAATTCTAAGAAACATAGTAACTACTTCTAATCAGTACTTTTTAAAAACTACTTGGTATAAAAAATGTGTAGCTGTTAATACAAAATTTTTTTACAAAAATTATTACATGCGTTTGTAAGTACTTTCGAAAATGCATGCTCCAATACCTTTGTAAATGTATAGCGTATAATGGAAAATAGTTTGTTTATTTTTTGCAAAAATTATGCTACTCGTATATAAACTTTAATTAAATTAAACTGTACTCGTACTTGTAGGTGCATACGTAACTTAATTAATTGGATTTGAATTAAATAGTTAACTCCCACAAATGCCAATTTGACTAACACAAAACGAGAATGCATAAATTGTGTGTATGCATACACTGAGAGAATTTTTCTGATGTTACAACTTTCATCTGGAGTGGATTTGTTTTATTTTTTCGAGTAAGGTTCGGTTTTTTGAAAGTATGGGACAAGGGGTTCAGTAATGGCTGGATACAGTTTCTTTTAAAAGGATCAAATATTTTTTAAGTGTCAGCAGCACAAGTGTGGTTATACTACTAAAAAAATTTTTTTATATTTTGCAATTTCGACATATTATTTTATATAGTTTTATTTACGGCACTATTTGACATCCATTTAATGCTTCAGTTAGAAGCAGAAGAGGTTTTCACATACTTTTGTTGTAAAAAAAATACTTGCATATTCACAAACACTGCGCATTACAAATACTTCAGATCAAATCGAAATTTGAAGTCGCAGCTGAATCAGTAGAAAAAAGTAGAAAAGTTGTCTCAAAGCCTTATAATGGAGTGCCAAATACTAAAATCTATACTCAAAGGTATATCATTAAATACACAATTATATATACAAACCTACATGCATAAAATGTTTCTAATTTCGAGATCATAAAACTGCGTCCATTAAAAAAAAAAAAACATTTTAGGCCGTTTTCTCAAAATCAAAAAATGTGTTTGAGGGGCAGATAAAACGGCCATTTGCTTATCAAATTTTGCAACTCGAATTGAAAACCTGTAAATTGTTTGTATGTGTAGGCATGTAACTGTAGTTGCTTTTTAAACTTTTTATTTAAATATTTACTTCTATATTTTTTCATAGTTTCCCCTTTTACAACACTCTGCCGTCGGTTGCAGAGTTCGTAGTTGAGAAGAGGCATTCAAATTGCACTTTTCTTAGAGTAAAAATAAGTTTGTAAAGAAAATTTTAGTTTTGTACGCTGTGAATAGTTTTAAGGGGGCGTACTTTTTTTTAACTAAATTACAAATATATTATCAATACGGGAGCATTTGCATCATCACTGTTTATCGCTCCAAAATTATTCACAGTGTAATCCCTCTCTTTACAGGGTTCATTACTTAAATCATCTAACTGTCAATTGTATTCTTAAGAATCTTGTCTTAGACTAATTCGTCTCCAATCGAACGCGGAAGCTACATATTAGCCAATGGCTAATGAAACTCCCGTTATAACCGTACCGGCTCGCTTTTTAACTGAATTTTCATCCGTTGCTTTAATGTTATTTTATGTAGCAAAAAAATGTGGTTAATGAAATTATTTTAATCGCTTAAGCTTTGATCGCAGCTTTCAAGAAAAAACACAGGGAACAATTTTCATTCCTTCCGTCGCTTAAAATAAAAGCGGGCAAGTAAAAAAAATTGGAAAAGTGTACTACAAATGGTACGAAATTTCTTCAAAGCTGGTTTAAGAAGTTTTGCTATAAAAAAGTTTATGTTTTTTGTTGTTGAATGAACCATATTTTTATACAACACTGGCGGAAAAATATTAGAATAAAATTATTTGCATGTATTGGGAAAAATTTGCTGTGCCAATACTTTATTCCGGCAGTGTATACTGTATTCTGAAGGTTTAAAAGTTCCTGAAGGGTCCCCTCAATTTTCACAAAGTAACAAATGTTGCATACTTATATTTCTTAGCTTGAGTATACGATATTTTTATTTTTTTTTATTTAGATTTTTGGAACTTGTTTTTGTAACAATTGTTGCGACCAAAGTTTTCATATGATTTTCATGGAACCTTGCGAGTAAATAGAAAACTAGTTTTCTGAAAATTATAAGGAAATTGTTTAACAATTTTAAATTTTTTTTTAATTTTTTAACCGTTTTTTAATATTTTTTTTTGTAAATTTCGGTGATTTTTATCGCATTATATCTGTGATGCCTCCTTATGTGCAAAGTTTCGCGACAACGAAGTTTTCTTCAGGTAGCTCAGCAAACAATTTTTTTTATAAATTCAGTTTTTCGTTTTATCAAGGCTCGTTATGTCGAGGTTTCACCGTAACGGGCTATCCATGCCATGCTGGATCTTCCATTTGACACTATTCCAATGTCACTGTCATCCAAATTGGTATTTAACAGTATGACACGTTTTTACGACCGTAAAAGAAAGCGTTATCGAACCTTACTTCGAGGACGACAAAGGAGTAGCAGTAACCGTCAATCAGGGAATTTTTTTTGCCGGAACTTAAGGATTTAGATCTGGTCGCGGACATTTGAAGCTCCATCACGCGAAAAAAAAAAATCGCAGGACTTGTAATTTCGATATTCGTGTATATTTATAACTTCTTATTGTGGGACCATGCGAAAGCCTGTGCTTATGAGAACAATTCCACTATTTTGGAATAATTGAAGAATAAGAACCTGTGTGCTTTTTGTTCTCGGCCCAAACCGATGATTATAGTGCCATATAAGAAGAAGGAGATACGTCAAGTTAATGCTGTTGTTTTTTTTAACCTTACTTTCTAAAGGAGAAAAGGGATAACCCTGTGTTTTTGAATATAATATTGCTTTCCATTGCTTTATTTATTTTTTGAAGTTAATATACATACATATGCGAATTTGAGTGTATCGCTGTTTGTCGATTATTTTTCTCAAGTGCAGATAAGTAATTTCTTTTCCTTTTGAAGTCAATTGCATTCTTTTGAGTTTCTCTTCTCATACCTCTCTCGAACTAGGATTTTCCAAAAAAAATTACACTCTTCAATAAATAAATACAGAAAAATGGTTGTTACCCTACATGTGTAAGTGTACGTTTTCCAACTTTCACTAATGAGTTTTCGTTTCAAAAACCGAACAAATTTAAAAAAATTATCAAAAAAAAGCAAATATATTCTAACAATTCGTACTCTTTCAATATAAAATCAATTAAATATAAATAACTGGTTGAAAATTCAGTAATTTCATTTTTTACACTGGTAGCAAAAATATCCTAGACCAAGTTTTCAAAGAAAAATGTTACAAAGCGATATATTTTATATTAAAAGATTTCAATTTCAAATGAGAAATTTCTATATTAGATTTTTACTTGAAAAAATACTACTTGAAAGTATGTATACTAATTTCATATACTGTAGTTTAAAAATAAGCAAAAAAAGGCAAGCATGCCGAATTCAATTAGTTCGATAGTGTATAATTTTTAGTAGTTTTCATATATAAAATGACAAACTGATAAACATATTTAAGCTAATAAGGGTAAAAAGTAAACAAAATGTATAAAAAATGCAACAAAAATATATACGGCAATAGAGGAGTTAATGCAAAATATTGCACATACATATGTATGTATGTATGTGCATGATTACTTACAATAACGCATAAGTGCATACCAATATTNATAAAAAATGCAACAAAAATATATACGGCAATAGAGGAGTTAATGCAAAATATTGCACATACATATGTACATATGTATGTGCATGATTACTTACAATAGCGCATAAGTGCATACCAATATTTACAAATTTACATACAATACTTACATACGTGTATAGTGTACGTAAATTGTATGCAATTACATATTAGTTTATACCTGCATTTCGTTTTAAACTGAAAAACAATAAAAGCAGAGGAAGGAGTTGCTGCTTCTGTGTGTAGAAAAAATCAATCCGCAATTATTTATTGCAATTACATGAAAGAATTAAAAAAGAATTAATCACTAAACGTGTGTCTATGAGATGTCGGATATTAAAGGCGAGTATAACTACAACAACAATAAATCAATAAAGGTCAGTAGCTACGACGATGAGCTCGCGCTCGGGCTCATGGCCTATCAAATTCTAGGAGCAGCAAAGTAAATATGTATGTAGTTTTAAGTAATTAGATAATATGTAATTAAAATAATGAAACCAAAAGTACTTATATACGAATACATACGAAAAACATTNAAAACAATAAAAGCAGAGGAAGGAGTTGCTGCTTCTGTGTGTAGAAAAAAATCAATCCGCAATTATTTATTGCAATTAAACGTGTGTCTATGAGATGTCGGATATTAAAGGCGAGTATAACTACAACAACAACAACAAATCAATAACGGTCAGTATCTACGACTATGAGCTCGCGCCCGGGCTCATGGCCTATCAAATTCTAGGAGCAGCAAAGTAAATATATATGTAGTTTTAAGTAATTAGATAATATGTATTTAAAATAATGAAACAAAAAGTACTTATATACGAATACATACGAAAAACATACATACATACACATTACAGTGTGTGTGTGTAAAAAATCATCATCAACGGTAGCATTGAATGTACATATTCAAATGAAAAGCAATGAATTTGTTGTTCTAAAGCTAATTGCAATACATTTGAACATCAATAAAAATAAAAATGTTATTTAGTTATAAAAAAAAAACTTTCTCAAAATTGTTTTCATTTTACATGTGTAAATTNAACATCAATAAAAATAAAAATGTTATTTAGTTATAAAAAAAAAACTTTCTGAAACTAGTTTTGATTTTTCATGTGTAAGGGGTATGGGTATAAAATTGTTTTTGTAACTACATATGTACATATTAATTGCCTAAAACGTTACCAAATTTATTTTTTCTTAAAATTTCTATATAACTTTTTGTGTAAAAATTTCCATAACTAGAGTATGACGTGGGTTATCTGTTATGCGCAGCCAAAGAGAGAATATACTAAATAAATACGCCAGTAAGATTCAAATATTGGGCAGTTAGCTGTGCGTTTTTGATCAGAAAAATTTCAAAACACTGATTTATTTTTAATTCGCAAGTTGTCTCACTCGTCGATTTTAAATGAGTACGTACTATGACTAGCTAGGACCCAGGTTCGATTTCTGGTCCGAGAAATATTCAAATTATAGGAAAACGTTTTTTATCATAGCGGTCGCCCCAAGTCAGGTGTTAACAAACCTGTGAGTGTGGAGGCGCCATGAAAATGCCTCCCACAAAAACCATTTGACTTGCGGAAATGGCGAAAAACGTTTATTCAGTTTTCTACATTTGCCTACCAGCGTCAAAGCGAACACCACCAAATGGAGAAGGTCAGCCAAATCTAAAAAAAATATATAAATTTTTGAAGACATTTCAGGATATTCCGTCAACTATATTAGGTGGTATTTGTGGTTAAAATTTGAATTACCATTACACTTACCATTACTCTTGTCATAGCTATTACCATTACTATTACTATTACCATTACTATTACTTTTACCATCGCATTCACCATTACCAGTACCATTATTATGATTACCATTACCAGTACCAATATCATCACCCTCACCATTACCAGTACCATTATTATTACCATTACAAATATCATTTTAATTACAATTGCCATTATCATTGCCTTTATTATTACCATTACCATTATTGCTGCTATTACCATTGACACTATCATTACCATTACCACGGTCAAAACGTTTACCATAATCATTACCATAACCGTAACTATAACCATAAGCTATAACCGTAACTATAACCATAAACATTAGCATGAGTGCCAGGATAAACCACGTCTCGCTATTCTTTAATTCTGCTAAGCTGGAATGGCTTTGAGTGAATCGAACCCAAAAGTTGGGGTATTTGTGCCTTAGTATAGTGTACTCAGTAGCCCGTTTCTATTTCCGCCAGCCAGTCATTTTCTAGGCATATTCGTTAATTTTCATCAATAGATTGCAAGTTGATGGTTGTGAACATCTTTTTGCGTTTTCGGAACATTTCGCTTCCTTCAATATTGCTATATTGTGTTTTTTGGTTGCCCCACTTTCTACATACTGCTTCAGACAAAGTTCAATGGCTCAAATCTCGGCCTGAAAGACAGAGTTACACTGCCGCATACTGGTGAAAAATAGCAGTCTGGGTTGTATGCGGCAGACTTCTGCTCCGAAGCCGTGGTCAGTCTTTGAGCTGTCAGTATACCAGATGTGGCTGTCCTTCCGGGGTTTAGGTCGTTCTTTGTCCCAATTATTCCTGTCGGGGACAAAGACCTTAAAGTTAAGTGAGAAGTTAAACCTCGGAATGCACAGGTCCACAAAGCTTATGCGCAATCCATCTTCTTGTTCTATAACCCTGGTTACATCGATCCGGTTTGTTTGTTATCTTTGGCTTATACTTATATTATGAGGAATTCAAAACTGCTGTAACTAGCAAAATTTACGTAAATTTAAAATAATATTTATTAATATTATAATCGGTTTTCATAAAAGTAATTTTAAATTAAAAATTAATAAGTTTCAGATCCAGTATTACAGTAATGCATCTCGTTGAATGCAACAAAAAACAACGTAATGCTATATAAAGACAGAGCAAAAATTATTATGTAGCTTGCGGCGTTCCACTTCAACAGCCGTCTCTGCATCCTCTTTTGCTCACTTAACCCTGAAACAGGCTCAAGCAATTCGACAATGTATTCAGATAATTATAGCCCAATTCGCCCTTGCAACCATAGCCTCCCAACTTGTGTATAGCCGCATAATCATAGCAATCGACTTGACTGTCACCATTACAATCCTGCGCATATTTGGTCATGTAATTTTGTATGGTGTCGGCAGCGCAGTAGGGATCGTTGACGCAGTTGGCGTAGGCTATTTGTGGAGTAGTGGAAGAAATGAATGGTTCAGTAAATTTTCTTGCTTGACTTCCTACATTTACTGCGCTCACTTACCGGACTCCGATTCTGGTGATTCGCCGTTCAATGTCTGCTTGCCACCATCAGCCCAGTAGGGCCAAGTGATGCGAAACAGACCACATATGCCGCCAGTGCAAGTGGCTGTGCGATTGCAGCCGCTAATCGCTTCACAAATACAACCCAGGCAAACATCGGTGACTGGTTTATCTGCAAACAAAATGAGCACAATTATTACTTATTAGCTATGTATTTAATAAATGTTTATACTATTTTTGAACTTAATTGATAAGCGCATTAAAAATAATTACGCTGTGCTGAGTAAGATTTAAAATTGTATATATTTAGGTGTAAGAAAGACTTAAGTAGGAATCCTCTATCAGCATAATTCTGAGCTTAGTTAATCTTTCATAATACGGTGTGACTGAGCTGATAACTACAATTTTTTAATTAAATATTTATTGTGCGCTTACACTGTATTTATAACTTTCGTAGTGCTTTTTTGCTGATTATCAAATTTAAATTTCTGAGAAAAAATAGCCGCATTTAACCTAAAGGGTGTAATTAGAAATTGTTTTAGCGTTCAAGAATCAGTGACTATATTCCTTTTTCATTGACTTGCATTCACACTTTATGTGGCGAGTGGCAGTTAGCAACAGTGTAAGGAGCGGCGATTACAAATCAGCCTATTTTTACTTATTTTTCTGCGATTCTAAGCGCCACTTTCCGTTGAAAAACTAAATGGCATTTAAGTTAATTATGAATTCGTATTAAAAATCAGGGTTTGCTTTTTCCATATTTAAATTGAGCATTAAAATACGGTTTAACTATTTGAACTGAAAATTTATATTTTTTTTTTTTTTATAATTTTTAAACGGCTCATAAGAAATTGACTCTAAAAAGTTTCGTTCAAAAGCTAGATAAGTGAACACTTAAAGCTCACTATTATAATACCGGATTTTCACTAGGCATTAAATGACAAAAATTTTATTGAAAAAGTTGTGCTTTAAAAAAACTCGTGTCATTACGTTAAATAAAGAATAATTTATTGAGTTGGTTTCTTTCAATTTCAAACAATTTTTTTTTTTTAATTAAATGCACCAATTAAGAGTACAAAAATCCGAGACATGTAAATGCACATCAATATGTAATGGCGAAAATTCCACGGAATTAATTATCGTTCAAAAAAATTTGCACTTTAAAGAAAGTTCAATAAAAACCAGCGATTCACGAGCTAAATATTGTCAACAAAATTTTAGCGACATACAAAAATCGTGTATAACTGGATGCAAGACGAGATTGATAATCCATTTATTCAATTGCCTGTACATATGTACATACATATGTATGAATGCAAATACGTGTAGATATTTATGATCGTAGACTTGAGTCTGTTGTCGAATAAATTTATTTAATTTATTATTATTACGATTTTGAACTACAAAATTAAATTGTTGCATCAATTTTTAGCGAATAATTCAAAATTTGCATTTTCCGTTCATTTGCATATTTTAAATTCGCTCAGTTATTCCGATATTTTTTTCTCTTGTCGTTTTTTAATTTCGTAATTAATGCAATATTTTTATTTATTGTTATTATTTTTTTTCTTTAGAATTTCGCATCATCAATAAGTTACTTGACATAACAAAGTCTGTGAAAGACCCGCCATGTGAACTTTGCTTATACCTACATTCTATAAAGAACTTGACTTTCAACGTTTAAATGGAATTTTTAGTGCTTTTCGTTTATTATTTTTTTCTTCTTTCATCTTAACTTGATCTTGAACATGCGTTGAGGGCAAATAGCTAGGTTCAACGAAACTGCACATGCGTGCAGCCGGCATTTCCTCTGAGCAAACGAGATGAGGAATCTTGAGGTCATTTATTGCAAATTGTAATTTTTATACATACATACATACCTACACACATTGGTAGTTGCTTGTTTCAGCTTTTTACTAAGTGCCCCAGCTGAGAATTAAAGCCGATTCTGGTTTATTTAGTTACATGGATGAACTTGGTGGCCCAGAGTCAGACTCGAGTACTCTTGACCTTCATGAAATGGCGTTTGGAAAATTAAAAAGTTGGTTGATCTTGCTGCTCACTCATATACATTCATTGCTCTTCGACTATTATGTTCCATTTGATAAATGATTTACTTATTTATTTATTTTTTACGAAGACACTTGCCAATTCGAAAATATACAATAGGGGGTTTCACTAATGGCGATTTCTTTTCTACAAAAAAAGTTCCCTTCTTATCGCTCTCTGCATAGTGTGTGAGCGTAGAGAAGGTTGCACTTTTCGGTAGTCTTGCAAAAACCTTGCACGGTGTACGAATCGTACGTAAAACCGGTTTTCCTATGGGAAAGCTTTGCAAGGGTTTTGCAAGACTTAAGTAAATCCTCCTTTTTTGTTTGAAAGACTTAATGAACCCTATCAACGTTACATATTTTTTTTTTCTTTTTCGAAAAGGAATAATTTCGATATTAACTTATCGTAACCTTGTTAGAGGTAAAAGGCAAAGGAATCTGAAATTTTTTAAAGAGCAGCTAATAGTTGTTAACTTTTTTTATTTTCGTTCAGTGATGGCGAAATATACATAGTTGATTACCAGGGTTAGGATCTTAAGGCACTAAAAAACTTGAAAAAAGGCATTTATTTTTTATTTTTTTATATACATACCTTTAGTAGAATGTAAACATATTTTTGTCCAATTAAATATATAAAAGATACATATAGTGGTCAAAATATTATAGCCGCACCACTTTTTGCCAACTTTTAACATATTATTTTTGTTGTTATTTAATTTTGGTTATTGTTTTTATAAAAATATAGTTAATTCTTTAACAAAACCCATGTAAATCCAAGTTTGCAACTTTTTGCAATATTCAAAAACATTCGTAAAAATTTCGACCTTTTTTAAAAATTCTAAAAAATCAGCGATAATTTTTAGCCATTTGATACTTCAACTAAAATTCAATGGGCTATAAAACTACATACTCAGAATCGTTCTAGGACATCTAATTAAAAAATCTCGAAATTTTTACGAAATTATGTTGATTTTTTTTTTAAATATTGCGCATTTTAATTCAGTGTCAAACAATTGGTACTTTTGTACAGATTTGTACAAGGCTGTTGGTACAAAAAAAAAACAAAAAAATAAAAATGGGACGACAATTCTTTTGTAGTCACACGATTGGTACAATACAGTGAACTTCTATGAAGCGATAAATATTAAAAAGGCAAAACATGCAGAAAAGGCAATATAGAAAAAAAGCAAAACAAAGGCAAAATTAAATTTTTAATTTTTATTCAAGGAGGACATGAAACGTGTAATTTAATTTGTTTACAGATACGACTAAGCAGACAAAATAGGCAAATGCCCTAAAGTCCTAACCCTGTTGATTACATATGTGTAGTTCAACTGACAAACTCATTAATTTCCTAAAGTCATTTTTATAAGCTGTACTTACTTTCCAGCTGGGCATCTTCCAGATATTATTTATACATTACGAGTATTAAGCAAAATTATTAACACCAACGGTATCTTCCTTGTAACTTAAGCTAACCATAATATACCAACAAAAAGAAAAACCACACTCAAGCTACTCTTGCACGTCCATGAACTTCTGTTGTGCTGTCCACACATGATCTTAAGCCACAAAAAACAACACTGACAACAATGACAACAAATGAGAAAACTAGTCAAATCACTTGCTCACAAAAGACGAGTTTAGCAACTTTGCCGAAGCTCCGTTAAAAGTGTGAAGATTTTACTGTGACAAATGATAGTCGTGCTGGTTGGTGGCGCAGATGAAAATATTTAAAAAGTAAGCGAAAAATAAAAAATAAACAAAGTATGCAAAACGAATTGCTAACTGCACTTGAAGATGAGTCAAGTTACAACAAAATATCGAAACGAAAACGTTTGAGAAACTCACCTTGCCTGCTAATAGACATAAATTTCATAAAGCTATTAGTAGTCATAGGTGGATATATTGTACATACATACATATGCAAATGGTCGCATATTAATTTACATAAATAAATAAAACCGTAAACGCGACGTAAATATGCGAATTGAACTTGAACTAGTCTGAGCGTAAAAATACCGATTGTGGTAAGAAGGTAGAGTACTTAAAAGCGATCGGTATGCATACAATTTCAAATATCGTTAGCTTAGAGTGAAAAGTTGCTAAGTGCTATTTTGAAAATTTTACAGGAGCAGAAAAAAACTTTTATAGCCATTTTCTGCACGTATTTCGCAAAACTGTTTGGCTGTTTAAAGCAAAGCAAAACTCCATATGAATTAGAGAGACAGGATTAATAAAAGATTTGGTACGTATTATTTTCAATGTTTCTTTTGGACTTAGCAAATTTTTCATTCATTTAATATAAACGAGAATAAATAAAACAAAGACCTCTATCTTTTTCGAAATAATGTATTTTTAGTTTCACTAGCCTCCTGTATCAAAATATGAACTCTCATAAAAAGTGGACTTAGCAAGTTTTCGCTCTAAGCTAGCGATGTAAATTTGTTCTTAGTTCAATTAAATGCTAAGCTTCTTAATGGATTTGTAAACATTTACCCGTTTTTCTGTGCCTAAATGTCTGAGTCCGTGCTCCTATATTTGACAACTTCTATCTAATAGCCCATTTCCACCAAAAGCTTAACGGTAGTTAAGAGCTAGTTCCAAGAATTTGAACACGTTGTGATCGGAAAAATTATTTCTTTCTTTTTGCTTTTTTTTACTTTAGCATAAACCGCAGTTAAGGCTTGGTGGAAATGAATAATAGCTTTTTAATTTTTTCCTTTTCAATAACGATTTTTTTTAACCGCAAAAAAATAATGTATGCCAAAAATCCTTTAAAGCATCTCATTGAATTGAATTATTGAATATTCGTTGTTGCATTGAAAGTGTAAAAAAAAAATACCGAAAAAAAAAACAGTTTTAATCAGAAAAGATTTATTACCGCACGTCAACAAAACGGACAGGGTGACAAAAATGCGCGCGTTTGGCATAATTAATGTGCCACATCAAGCAAAAAAAAGTAAATAAAAGGAAGCCCGAAGCTAAAATAGAATGCACTGTGAGATATCTTTACTTCAGCAGTTCGGCAAAAGTGTTTTGCTGCGAATGACCTTTGTTTAGCTTATTTCTGTTGGGTTTGATCTCTATGCATTCCGCACAACATCACAAAAATTTAGCAACTCTTCCATGTTTAGATGATGTAAGATATCATTTAAGTTAAGCAAATTTCTTCAACGAAAGTAAAAAATCCGGAATTTAAGATCAATTGCAGATTTCTGTTCGTTATCTTCTACATATTTTTTTAAGTAATTTACGATATTCATATCCAACAATTACAAATGTAAAAAAAAAAATAAACAAGAGTATTTAGCTTTTCACTCTTTGGGGAGGATGGAACTTTTTGGGGAGCCTGAAAGTCCACATATTTCTAACCCGCCTTCCTGGTCTATGGAACGATGAGCTGTATGACTTTAAAACGACATACATTGACATAGTGCAGCGATTCATCAGGCTTGGTCGTGTGGTACGAACCAAAAAGTCTTCTACAGGCCCACTTGGCTCGGCTGGTTTTACTAAGAGTTTTGTTTAGATGGAAGTTCTAAATTAGTATCTTCGTTGTTGTTGTTGTTGTAGCGGCTACTAAACCCCGCTCAGGTCGGTTCATCCGTCAACGTTGTCGTCCATTTCAGCTCAGTGGAGTCCCAGGAATGCGCGACATCGACAGGGTCCTGGAGCGTTAGCTGGGTGGGGTTCTCGCGGCATGTGAAGAGGTGCCGAGAGTCATGTGGCGACTCTCATCCTTATTAACTCTGATCAGGTGTGAGTTTAGCCTGCTGCAACAGCCAGACAAAGTTCTGTCACGTCCACGTCAGGTGGTTGTGTGCCTAGAACGGCATTCGCAGGGCGGGAGTCTACATAACGTGACACCGATTCCCTGTGAATGCCTGGACTTCGTCCTTCAGTTCGTAAAGATGCCTCCTGACGTGCCTTGGCGAGGGCTCTTCTGCAAGCAGCTGTTTGTTTGGATGATCACGTCTGTGGCTCTCCTCAATAAAATGCTTGCAGAGCATTGTGTTATGCTCCTTGACTGGAAGCGTCTGGGCCTCGTCGTGTAGGTGGTGTTGGGGCGTCATCAGGAGGCATCCGGTCGCTGTCCGAAGTGCCGTATTTTGGCAGGTCTGTAGCTTCATCCACTACGTCCTGCTAGTCCCAGGTGACCACACGGGCGCTGCATAGTTTATAACCGGCCGGCTAATTGCCTTGTATGTTGCCAACAACGTTTCTTTCTGCTGCCGGCCAGCGACTTGAGGACATTGTTGCGGCTCTGTACTTTGTTGACAATTGCGGTTGTACGTATTCAACAAGGTTGAATTGCGGTGCAAATTCATTTTTCGGACCGCAGCTATCAATATTCCATGCCTTCCAATGAAGACAGTTATCTCCTCGATCTTGCTCTGAAGTCCGTTGCAGTTGAATTGTAAGCACCTTTGTGTGCCTTGGGAAAACAACGTTTGATAGATTTCGCAGACCTAAACAGGGTAAGATCGCCGAAACAACAGCCCTTGGTCATTCCGGTACGTAGACCGGCTGTCGTGGGAATGTAAATTAGTCTCTCATCAAGGGTGCTTCCCTGATGTTTGACTTCGTCAGAGTATTCAAGAGCTTTTCCTCAAATGGTAACCGAACCAAGGTTAGGCTTATCTTTTCTTGTGAACTATAGAATAACAATTTTTTTGTAGGCTTCTTGGAATTATTCGACAACGAGCTATTATTCGAATAATCGATGATGGATGATTATTCGAATACACCTAATCGGATTTTACTATTTATTTTTTTTTTTTTTACTACGGGCATTACGTAGGTGCAATGAACTTTTCAGTAAAAGATCGTAGTTATTATTTATAGGTAAATTATTTATACGTAGATCCTTCTTTCTCATATTTCTAAAATAAAAAATTAATATACCCCTCTGACTCTCATGGTCTCATATGTATTGTTCAAATTTGTTGACAGTTATGTATATATACATACATACAATACAATACACGTCTCATTAAGCTGCTTTTGTTTTTGAAACGCCCGGGAGAGGCCAAGCTAATCTTGAAGTAAGGCGATTATAAATTTGCTGACCTATTATTGAACATACTTTTTACTTTTTCTTAATTTTTTTTTTAATTTTTTTATTTACTTTGCTTTGTTTTAATGTAAATCTGTTTAATCTACAATAAGAGGTGATTTTTATTTGTTTGTGTTATTAGTTTGACATACATACATGTCGTTGTTTAAAGTACAAAACCGCGTATCGTCGTTCTGCAAAACCGCGTAACTAAAATTTGTTGCCAAAAATTAGATTTGCTTATTTTTATTGGAAATATACCAGCCAGAAATGCGATTGCTTTATAAAAAAGAGAACCATTTTGAAATACGAGTGTTTTTACTCTCTAGAAAATAATTTATGCAACCTTACATACGTGGTCTTGCGTTTTGGTGATGCGCGGTTTTGTACTTTAAACGACGATATGTACATATTTACATACATGCACACATACATATGAGTACATTTGTATTATTTTATTTGTTTGTGTTATTAGTTTGACATACATACATATTTACATACATACATAAGTAGATATGTATGTACATACATTAGACCGTACACGAAGAAAAGCTCGCCGTACACCCCTTTTTTCAAGGGAATTTCAAAAAAAGATTTTTTTTTTGCTGAACGTAGGGGTTGCCTTTTTACATTTATTCGGCATTTATAATTGGCCAAGTACCCATTTTAGTTGTTACCCACCCCAGTTCAGTTCTTATCACCTTAACGTTACCACCCTAATGTCAGTAAATTAAAGCTTTCCAAAAATCATATCTAAAAACTTTATTGAGAAAGTTGTTTGATTATTAGAGTAGAACTATTAAAAAAAATATTGCCAAATGTAGGTGTCACCGGTCGGCAAAAAAAAAACAAAATAGTTTTTCGAATTCGCCTTGCAAAAATTGTTTTTGTTTGCATGTAAGGTGGTACGGTCTAATGTACATATGTAAGTATGTAGCTTGTTTGCTTGAAGAACGTTATGACTCAAATGGCTTAAAAGTTTTTTTTTTATACTAAAAATTTTAAGATGTATCTATTGTCTTACAGAGTATAAAAAGTTGTGCCATCAAATCCTATTTTGGTTGCTTACTTTCTAAAGAGTTATTGTATTTGTGTTATAATGGCTAAAGAAAGTGGAAATGAGGCACAATTATCAAAAACCGTTATGATTTTTTATACAGCATAACAGAAAGACTGCCGGCCATTCCTGCATACTTAATTCAATCTTTTTTGTTTTGTATTATTATTATGACGTTCTTCCCGCAAAGGCGCGATGTCTACGTAAAGTTGGGGAAAACACATAAACACCGACACAAAAAACTTGTTAAGGATTTCTTTTTATGCATTTTTTTAATTTGAAATTCAGTTTGATGACTGGTGCGCGCCGCATGATATCAAAAGCTATTAATAAGTCGATCTCACGAATAGCAACAAGTTAATTTTTTGCGACTCTTTCATACGTTTGCTATCGAATTTCGGGTTTTTTGTTTTAATTCGTAGTATTTATGAGCTTGATATGTTACTTTGATTCTTATTTTAACTTTTAATTAATATTGGGATATTTCATATATTTCTGAGAAATCCAAAACACACGATTAATTGCTATGCGGTCTTTTTTCTTATTTTTCCTTTTAATCTACGTTGTCACCAATTCACGTAAGAGATGGCTTATCAGCGTTGTTTCGAGAAATCGCGAATAGCTTCTCACGACAAGTGATTTTCCGCTTTTGCGTTTTTTTTTATAATTTTGACGCTTATTACCACATGCTACTGTTTGTAATAAAGGTATGTAATTAATTTTAATATTTATTAAGTAGGCAATTATCATTACAGCTAATGAATTATAAAATAGTTTAACTAGAAGAAAATTAAGTCATACGCTCCTATGAAGCCGAGCTTTTACATTTCATGTAAGCACGCATTTTTATCGTGCCACTCCCCTGAGATATTAATGACAGAAGTTTTCTTCTTCAAAAAGGCTTTCTACAAAAAAATTTACCAAGTTCATTAGGTTGAAAACTTCCAATAATTCACTATTAGGACCTATAAGCGCTTACATACTATTTTATTTTTATTTTTTTCTAAAGCACTAAAAGTTCTTTATTACCTACAAAGATTTTAATAGAAATATTTCCTGTTCTTTTATTATTTAATATTTCAACTTTCTGTTGAGCACCAATAAATGATACATACCTACACATGTATATGAAAGAGAAATAAAAAAGCCAACAATTTATGCTTCTAAAGATCTGCAAAAGAAGTAACCAAAAGTCAAATACAAAAGCAAAAAAATAACATTGAAACCAAAACACTAATTAATGCTAATCAAATACGTTCAAGCCGGACCTGAGATATAAACGCGTTGCGGTAGTTATAACTTCATAATGAATCAGCCGTTCGTTGTTTATTCCATATGTTCTAAAATCCTACAATTTGCTCTGCATATACATATTTCCCTTACGCCGCTGAAAATTTGCATATTTTTCCCTCACAAAATCACTTCAGATTAATTGTTTATATTTCTCCTAATCGAATTCATTATTAGCTATCTCCGCTTCACACCTCTATCGTACATAAATACAACAATACATAAGTAATTCTAAGTAATAATCAAGATTTCTTCTCACCCTGAGCGTTGATCAGCAAAGCAAAACCCACACAAAGCAGCGCAGCGATAGCCAATTTACCGTAGAATGTGTTGGCCATTGTTTTCAAAAGTTTTCTTCTAACTTATTTAAACTTTTGTTAATTACGTATGTATGTATATGTGCGTGTTAGCAACCAACGTATACAGTTAATTTAAAAACTCTGCACTTAAGCTGACGTCGACTGATTTTAATGCTCTATTCCGTTAGCAGTTTTTTACGTACTTCACACGATCGCGTTTTTCAAGCAACTGAAGCAGCAACACGAAATGTTTGCAAATTTTAACATTCTACTATTGATTGCTTCGAGAATCGTAGCGAATATCAGCATGGCTTAGCGATTGAAGCTTAGGGCTTAAATAAAAGCTCAGAGTACGTGAATTGAATTGAGCAAAACAAAGGAGTTAAGACACGAACTTGTCTGTTCACATTTGTGTCACCCTGCACTGTATAGAGCCAAATTTTTTTTCGGGATCTTCAATTTAAGATCGAAAATTTATAAATTTAAAACAAGCGATAATGGAGCAATAGCAAAGGTATTCCAACCTAAATGGCATCAGTGCTGTTCTTAGAAATCCCAACTGCATAGTCTCTCTATAGTATGGTAATCAGGCAGATTCTGCAATTTTCTTCCGAGGCAATTTCAACTTTATTCACAGGCGAATTTACATAAATAAATACAATAAACATATTAAAGTGACTTTGGTTGAAATTCACTCGGAAGCGAATTACAGAACCTGGCTGAATATTCTTATCGTATAAACCTGTACAATGATATTCTGTCTGCTCGAATAAAATTAAGTTTGAATTAAATTGCTATACTTTGCTGTTCACTTTATTTTCGGTTCAAAAGTAAAAAAAAAATACGGAAATTAATTTAATGAGGTATTGATCTACATGCTTAGATCTTGTTGAAGGCAGCAATGTCGACGGATTGAACAAAGTCTTCGAATTCCTGTATCTGTTCAGTCAGCAAATCGATTGACACTTTGTCGTCCTCAATTACGCACATAATCTGCAACTTGTTAATACCATAGCCGACAGGCACCAGCTTGGAGGCACCCCACAAAAGGCCGTCCATCTCAATGGTGCGCACGCTGTTCTCTAATTCCTTCATGTCGGTCTCATCATCCCATGGTTTGACATCCAACAATACTGATGACTTGGCAATTAGCGCAGGTTTCTTAGATTTCTTAGCAGCATAGGCAGCAACACGTTCCTCACGGATGCGTTCAGCTTCTGCGTCTTCTTCTTCATCATCGGAGCCGAAGAGATCTACATCGTCATCATCAGCCGCAGCGGCAGTTGGTGCAGCAGCAACTGTGGGCTTAGCACCGGCAGCTTGAGGCAATGGAGAACCGCCCCAAGCGGCACGCTCACTGGCCTCGTACGAGGCAATGTGACGATACCAACGCTGCACATGTGGGAAGTTTCCAGTTGGTGCCTTACCCAAAGCATCGAACACTGATATATCAGCTTTGCTGGGTGAATATCTGAAAGTATAAATTTCAAAGTTGTAGAATATGTCCGACGTGACACGGCCAGGCTACACATAACCTCAAAGTGTGGCATGCCAAGTGGCACTTTCCACCGTCCTTACCCGCTAATATAGCTGTTGTCAGCGAGGAATTTCTCCAATTCCTTTAGACCTTGTGGGGTTGTGACGTTACCGAAAGCCATTTTTGTATAATTTATCAGTATTTTAAATGGAAAATATCACCAGCGGCCGTACTGTGCTGCAAGCTGAGAGAAATTTGACAACCGGAAAGGGCAAACAGCTGTCAAATTCAGGGTTGCAAAACCTGAAGAAAAAAAGTATCGAGTGTTACCAGTAGCNTGTAAGTTTCGTTCACTATTCAATTCATAAACGTTTTTTAAATATTTTATGCACTATATTTTAAAAGGTCGCATTCAACTATTCGTCATTTACCACAAAAATAAGCGAAAGTCCTTAATTCCGGCCGCTAAATTTTTGGTTTGCGTAAATATGCGACGTTGTCAACATCTGGCAGCGTCACAAATCATCCTACGAGTCGCGACGAATCGAAAAACGGCAGCAAGGAGTGAAAATTTCGAAAAAATTACTTTACTGCGGTAAAAACAGCACAAAAGTGAACAAATTTTGTGTAATTATCACATAAAAGTTTAATTTATTTGTGGCAATATCTGCAGAGTGGTTTGTGCAAAAAGAAACATAGTTTTACCAGCATTTTGGCCTGTGTGAAAAATTTTTTCATCACTACTTTTTTGTTGTTTCCTTGCTGGTGCGACACCGACGGCGACGTCGGCGCTTCGGTTGTCTTTAGCTTATTTGGTGTTTTTTCTGTACTTAAATTTTGTTTGCCATATTCTTGTGAATACATAGTTGGTTTAAGTTTTATGGTGTAGAAATTTTTTTCCGCCTGCATTGCTGGTGCGAAATAGTTTAATATATTCAGGGTTTGTGACAGCCAAGCTGGCAAAAAGAGTTGGCAACAAAACGTTGCCGCGAAATAGCGAGCTGGGGAAATAGTAAAGTGGTAGGAAGTGTCATTACCAGTGAATAGTGCATGTTCCGATGTGCAAAATTCATTACAAATCATTGGTAAGTTTCACATTGCACCCATCTTCCCAGAATTGCATGAGCCAGCGCTCCATCGTATCGCGCTAGTGCTGCACCCCCCCTACAGTGATCAGCATTGTTTGTTGGGATTAGGCGACGGAAGCGTCAACGCAAATCAGTGCGCTATTGCCGCCGTGTCAAAAACGGTAAAAGCTGCTCTGCTTATACGACGACGTTGACATCCTGCGCTGCTTTCGTTTGCTCTTTTTCGTGTGTATGTTTTTTTTTCGTAAGCCGTTCGCTCTCAATCCTCTAGAGCGAGTGAGCGAGCAAACTCAATACTCAATTGAATTAGGCNAATCAGTGCGCTATTGCCGCCGTGTCAAAAACGGTAAAAGCTGCTCTGCTTATACGACGACGTTGACATCCTGCGCTGCTTTCGTTTGCTCTTTTTCGTGTGTATGTTTTTTTTTTCGTAAGCCGTTCGCTCTCAATCCTCTAGAGCGAGTGAGCGAGCAAACTCAATACTCAATTGAATTAGGTAAGGTATGGGCCGATGAGAGATATGGGGGGCCTAAAGGCAGGCACACAAACGAAGTGGATGCTGAAAAATCCACTTAAATTGCCTGCCTTCATTACGTTTTTTGTAGCTATAGTTGAAGCCGGGACTTTTGGTAAGCGGTTTGAGGAAATAAAATTTTTTAAATATAATGATAATATTTTCATAACAATGTGCATACATACATACATATATTATTCATTGTTCAAAAATGCATACTTATTGCTTACCAACGTCAATATGTGGCTACTCAGTTTCAAAGTGACGCGTTTGCCCTAACCAACAGTTTAATATACTTGCGNCTCAGTTTCAAAGTGACGCGTTTGCCCTAACCAACAGTTTAATATACTTGGGAGCTGGTTGTTTTGGTGTTGATGGCGGCATATCAACAACAGCCCTTTGGGTGTTGCAAACTCCAATGCGGTCATACGTTATCGCCTGTTTGTGGATTATTTGCATATTTAACGAGTTTTGCGGTAAAAATGCGTGTTTACGTACAAGAAATACTACATACATTTGCTCATAGTCTATAATAAGTTTTGCTGCGTGTTTAAAATGCTTTTTACGCTTGACTTCAAAACAACAATCCACACTTTGTTCACTTAAAAATATGTTAATACTAAGGTTGCTATTCATAAAGTTATTCAATTGAACCATCCAGTATTATATGTACATATATCGTCGATGTTTTTGCAAAATCACCCATAGCCCAATTACAAAACTGCCCTTCGCCCAATTACAAAACCGCCTATCATACGGCACGGTGCGATAAAACGGTTTATTCTTTGAAGGCATTGCCTTGATATGCATGTGGTATTTTCTCTAGCATACATCTATCGTGATACATCTATATGAGAAATTAGGATTGTTCATTCACGTTGGAAAAATAGATAACCTCGGGTCCACACTAATTTTTGTCGTAGATCTACTGTTAAAAAATACAGTTATTCGCACGCTTCGAAAATCACTGTGAATCCACGGTAATTTTTTTCCGCGGATTCGCGGTAAATACACCGTGGATCGACGGTAATTTTTTACCGCGGAAAAAAATTACCGTGGATTCACAGTGATTTTCGAAGCGTGCGAATAACTGTATTTTTTAACAGTAGATTTACGACAAAAATTAGTGTGGACCCTAGGTTATCTATTTTTCCAACGTGAATGAACAATCCTAATTTTTACCGTGGATCTACGGTAAAATTTACCGTGGATCTACGGTAAAATTTACCGTGGCGCGTGTGTGTAGACACTGCCTTAATTTTTTCCCCAACGGCGATTTACGCCGTTTTGCAACTGGCCGATGGGCGGTTTTGCCAAATCATTGACGATATGTACATATCGATGGTCCTGTGCAATAACGACAATTCAAAATCTAAAAAACAAAATTTTACTAATGTTAAGTGGCTCTTTTCTCTAATCCTTGTCTAATCCAATTCCATCCCTTACTAAAGTAAGCAGTAAGGATTGCTAAAGTAAATACAAAATAATAGAAATGTGTTCGACAAGGATTAAAGACATGAGCCTCTAAATAGTAGTAACAGTATTTATTTTTTGAATTTTGAATTGTGTGGTTATTACACAGGACCATCGATATGTATGTATGTTTATGTACCCATTCAGAACGGAGCAATGCCAATAACCAGTAGGTAGTTTGTACGGCTTGAGTAATAACGTGATGAGTTAAATAAATTTATGTCTGGTATGTCAATATCATCTTCCCAGATTATGGTTGATTTTCAGGATAACTGAATTACAAAGCGACTTTCTTTAATATAGCATGCAAGATCTGACGGGCGGTACTAGGTCATAGTCACAACATCAAAGAATCATTTGGCCGTGTCATGTAAAGTCTGGTGTTTATTGAGGTCCAGCGATTTTTCTGAAATTCGACTTTGCACGATTTTTAGCTTTCAGTATCCTACAAATTTCAAATCTAGTGCAACATGTACGATGAACGTCAGACTAACCAGCTAAACGTCGACAGTGTCATAATCCCCATAGTAAACTACAACACATTGCATTCGGAACAGTTAAGATGCAACCGTTGGAACCACCCTAAGACGCCTCTGCTTCGAAATGAAGCGCCACCTGCGAATGTAGGTAATTTATGCGGACGAACAACCTCCACTGTCGCAGGATCAAAAACTAAAGTTTTGATTGATATAACAAAAGAGCTTAATCCGGTATAACGTCCCAATCGCAGCCACACCATCCTTCAGCTCCCACGACAGTCGGGCTTACTAAACCGGAATAACGCAGATTCATATCTGGCTAAGGACTGCCACTCTAGCATTATTCCCCAAAACCCTGAGGAATTTTGAACCTCCAACTAAGATCGGGCTGGCATGGCCATCTTAACAGCTACCTTTCGCGCCCAAATCCCGAGTTGCCAAACATATGCCTATCATAGAGCTAATAGAGCCCACACAACACTATTTACCTCCTTGCATGACCATCCCTGACAGCCGAAGCCTTATGATCCGCTCCTATCAAAGCAACACGGTTCTTGAGCATCAGAACCACTGACGGGATCGCAAGGGGTTGATAGCTTCAGCTTCCAATACAATGATAGACATTAACTTTGAAGCCTTAACTGTACGACAAGGAGAATCAGCGATTATTTGGTTTTGATCTCAATATCCCGAAAGTGGCAAATAACTTCATAACTGTCGGACCTATCTACATAAATGCACCGGGTCAATTTATATGTGGCCAAGGACAGTGACTCCAGCAGCATTTCACATAGCTTTGCAGAGAATTTCTACGTTGTTACAATAAGTAAAATCACTTTAAAAAAGAAAAAAAATTCCCTCTACAAACATAAACATTTAGAAGTCGTACAATTTTCTCGCAAATGCTTAAGAATGAACATAAATGCAGTACAAACAACACCTGCGTCTCGCTTTTCTATAATGTAAAATATGTGTTTATGTGTGTGTTGCATCATTTTGTCTACCATCCAAGTACTTCAAACTATTTCAACTTATTCCAACCCTCAAAATACTAACGACTTCTAGCAAGTGTTTAATATCAATTCATTTTCCATTTTACTCAGTCTTCCACATTTTTCCATTTCTCTTATATTTCATATTCATATTTCCCGCTTCATCATTGCGCTTACACCAAATCTATTTTGGTTCGTATATGTATATACATATGTATACATCTTTTTTCAATCGTAGTATGCATCTCCCTTCACCTTGCTATGTGCTATTTCCGCTTCCGTTGTGGAGCAAACCGAGTAAGCAACGACCGCAACGTCGACAGAAGCATCACATTGCTTAG